GGAAAAAAAGCTGGCTTAAGTAGGTCAGCACTGTGTGTTTGCACAAAAGCAGTTTAGTAATATCAGATTCTCATTAAAGGGTGTGTAGTGTTTCCTTTCCGATCTTTCCATTTATTCCATTCATTGGTTGGACAGCTGGTTTTCGCTGACCTGCAGTGCCTGATAAAAATTTGGTGCCATATCTTTGCAGATGTGGCGTTTTGTGCATTTGCCCTTGATTAAGGTATCAGCTTAGAGCTGCATTTGATTCCTGGAAGCTGCACAGCAGCTAGCTTACAATGCTTATAATAGCTTCAGTGCAGAGAAGGAATTTCGGGTATCAGTGAAGAGTTCTTTGTATGTTCTTTCATGTTCTTGTTACTGCATCAGTAACTTTTAGCTGAGTTTCCCGCAAAGACACTCCTCCTGTCAGGAGAACAGAGGTGACAGACAACTCTTTGAGAGTGAATCAATGTTCTGCCCACACACGTCTTTAGAGATCAGTCCACCGAGATAGCATTTGTGGTGGGGAGATTTCTGGAGATTTCTCAGTGGACCTCCAGTCGAGTATCTTTTTGTTTTTGTTTTATTTTTTCTCCTGCTTTCCTTCTTTTTTCCCCCATTTTGCTCCAGTGAACTGCACTCCTGACCTCTGACCTCTGACTTCCTGTCCACTGAAGGTCATAAATCCTCTTCTTCTGCTTTCCTTACAGCCATTTTGTGCCGGCTGGGGCCAGTTTAGGGTGTTACGTAACTGCAGATGGATCTGAAGAGGCTGTGAATGGAAGCATAGCTCCTTCCATTTACAGATAATAGTTATCTCATGGAGTGTTTTTAGATTTTGTTAAATCTGGTTAATATCGGTGCTTAAGGTGTACGGAAGAGATGGAACATAGAAACCATTTAGCTTTGTTGAAAAGCTATTTTTTAATTAATATTGAGTTATTTAAATTGTTTGGTTAATGTAATCTATTGAAGTGTATGTACAAACAAAAGCTCTTTGATTTTTAAAAATACAAAACATATGACATGGTGAGACTCTGACCATGAAGCTCTGTTTCATTTTTTCTTTTGTGTGTTTGGGTTGTGGTGAAGGCTTTGCTTGCATTTCAGTGCGAGTCCTGCTGATTTGTCTGCGTGTCTCTTTAAGATTACATTCCCTCGGGAATGATGCTGCTGTGAAGCCGAGATCCAGAGAAAAAAAATGGGTCATGTACTCATAGGTGAAAGTCCCTGAAGGGGGGAGAACCACGAGGCAAAGGGAGAAACTGTCAGCCCAAGTCGAGGCTTAGGGGATTGGAGAGTACATCAACACAATAGCATTAGCTCATAATACTGCTCCTTGATATGGCTAACTGTGCTCAGTTTGTCTGGGTTTAGAGAAGACGTATGCTTTCCCTTATTTTGTACGTGTTAAACATCTAAACACAATTATAAATTAGGTCAGCATACAAACAACTAATCCCACTGAGCCAAAACCAGGCTTCAGGATCTAGGTACTCAAGTGCGCGCGCACGCACACACACACACACACACACACACACGTGTGTGTGTGTGTATCTATCTATCTATCTATCTGTCTGTCTGTCTATCTGTCTGTGTCTATTCTACAATAATGGAGAGAAAACCTCAACAATCAGATGGCTCCATTAGAATTTTTGTTTTTAATTTTCTTGTTCTCTGTTCTACTTGATTTTTTTTCTACTGAAAAGGGTGGTGACATTGTTACTTTTTTGTTTTCATTTCAAGATTTAAGAAACAAAAATTTACTTTTTTCCTTTAGCCTGTAAAACCTCAGGAAACCCCCCCATCAAGCTACCAAACAGTTATTTCTTATAGTTTTTTTTCTTTGTATTTTTACCTCTGAATGATGTCACAGAGAGCAGCTACTCCTATTATGCGATGACTCAGTTACTGAGCTCTGGCTGTAAGCACAGAAGCCCCACCCACCTATTGTTTAAACCTTCTGTTTGTGAGAGGCAACCAATCAGAAAAGTGAAAGTGATTTTGGTTCAGTCTAAAAACAAAAACATGTACGTGTAAATAAGCAACAGTATATCCAGCGGTGGTCTCTATAAAATTTGCTTATTAAAGACAGAGTGAGGAGTGAAGTCAGTTTGTGTGCATAGCTAATATAAATGCAGCAGGTGTTGATCAAAACTGTGGAAAAAATAACACAAAGACAAAAAAAATAAAATAAAATATGCGTATTAAGCATTTAAAAGTGATTTCTATAAAAGATTACAATCATTTCTGAAGATTACAAAAATATTAGAAACAAATTATGATAATTTCCAAAACTGCATTTGATCCACAAGGGTGCTTAATAATATAAACAAAAGATAACTGAGCCTTTACTGAAAAAGCAGAAGATTTTGGGGGGTTTGAATCCTGTTAGTGAGGTAGGAGACCAAGAAAATGCCACAACTCTGTGTCTGCTGAGGTGCTGAAGATGTAATATTTTAGTAGTATTTTTAGTTTTATGTCTTAACTGTATATTTAATAAAGTCTTCATAGTCTCATTTATATTTGACTAGTTTGACAAAGAAATTGTGAACTTTCGTCCCTGCTCTGACGTGATTATATTGTATCCTGTTTAACTGGATATGAGATGAGATGTGTGTGTATGTGTTTCTGTGCATGTTTGGTTGACACAGCTGCTGCTTGTGTTTGTTCAGGTCCCTTCCCTTCTTTCTGACCGGTGTGTTCCTGTTGTGCCTTTATCAGGAGGTCAGAAAGGAAGAATCCGCAGTCACGCCTCCCCCCAACTTATTTTCAGTCTTCAGTTAGAAAAGAGTGCAGTCCATTCACTATTAAGTTAACTTCTCTATTTTATTGACTGTCTGGGTCAGTTCACTCAACCTTATGAAGGATAATCCCATTAGTCATCCTTTTAACTAAAAAAAAAAATGAACCAAAACTGAAGCTAACAGAAGAGAAGATAAATTGAATTAGTGTATTTGTTGTTTAGTATCTATCAACATTATAATAATTTTTTAACAGAACATGTTGAGTGTAATGTTAAAGCATCGAGCTGAAGTAAAGCTTTTGTTGTGAATCGACATTAATGTTTAAGAGATCGATGGGCTAAAGAATTTGGACCCTGGAAGAAAACGAAGAACAGTTAAAAATTCAATTTATCTGAATAATTGGAGCTGCTTTTATCTGAGCTCATTTATCAGAGGAAAAAGAGGAAACAGATTAGCAGAGGAAAAGGGAGGACGAGTCACGGATATCCTCAGTCCTGCTTTGTTTTCTGAAGTGTCTCATCCTGTGGCCTGGAGCCGCTGCTGGATGAAACACAAGTCAACTTTTCAGGAATGAAAAGGAACCTGCTTTAATTTTGCAGCTGTTACTTGGAGTGTTTTACAGCTATTAGTCAGCACAGTGACAGCACCGGCTCCCTAGCTGTGTAAAAGTCACAGGTTTTTTAAGGTTTTTTTAGGTTGTAGTTTGTACTCACAGTGCTTCTTGGCTGACGTAGCAGCTAACAGAACAGGACAAAGGAAATGCTGGAAATAGACTGAAGCTGAGTTGGGGAATCTCTCATTTAGCAAGAATATTTCTACTATATTAAGATCATCTGTCCCACTGGAGGTCAGATACAGTTCGTCTCACTCACAGGAGGTTCAGGCTGAGCTCTGTCTGCTTCAGCTATAGTACATACGATAACTTATTTACTTTTAGTCAACCTTTATTTGCATGCATTCTAGCTTTCTTTTATACTATAATTGGTTTTATTTACCATTTTTTATGCTTCCATCCTACTTCTGGCATATTTCTCCAATTTTCTGAAAAGCGTCATCATCTGACTTTGAGGAGCATACTGCTTATTGTTTTCGAGGCAGCAAACACTTGCATCCCTCATCTTGTTTTTTTGCTCAAGCCCTTTTTAATCTGTGGTAATCCATCAGTATCTGTGTGGTCGCAGGTTTTAGCTGGGGCCGGGAGGGCTTAGCGTTTTATATTCACTGTGATCCAACATGATGTTCAACAGTAATTCACCCTTAATGGATTTATCCTAATACGGCTGGCAGATGGTTGGCATACTGATCAAGCCAATATCAGTATTGTGGCACAAACAGGGCCATCGTGCCATAACCTCACAGTGGATACTGGCTTTCCTTCATTGGGTTTCCTCGTCTTTGTAGACACTCATCATTGAGAGATTTCATTCCACTGATGTAGATCTGTGGTGGCTAACCTCACTGCAGGCATGAATGCATGGTGCGTGTTATTGTAATAGTAACATTATTGGATTTTAAAATACATATGAGTAGAATCAAACAGTTCAGGGTTTAGTTATTTTAAGCTTAGTTTAATTTAGTTAACCATTAACCATCTATTTTTCAAAGTCTGTGAGTTGGCTTCTTCTTTGTCTTTATCTTCTTTTAGCTGCTCGTTGTCACATTATCACATCATCTGCCTCCATCTCACCCTATCTCTAGCATCCTCCCACATCACACCAACCCTCTGTCCTTCATCTACAAACCTCCTCTCAGGTCTTCCTCTTTTACTCCTGCCTGGCAGCTCCATCTTCAACATCCGTTGTCAATCATTTCTCTGCACATGTCCAAACCAACTCAACCTTGCCTCTAACTTTGTATCCAAACCGCTCAAACAGAACTCTCCATCTAATGTACTTGTTTCTAATCCTGTTCCTCGTGGTCACTGACAAACAATAATCGTAGCATCTTTAAATCTGCCAACTCCAGCTTCACCGCCTTATTGTCAGTGCTTTCCAAAGTCTGTTAGTTAAGAGTTTTACATATTTGCAGTCTCACACACTGGACAGGTCATCAGTCTGTCTGATCCGAGTGAATATTAGCTTGCTGTGATGAAATGGTACATGAATGTGTGTGTTGTGTTTTCTTTGTATGTTTGTGTATTCTTTACTTACAAAATGAATTAAAACATCTCTGGTCAGGTCATAAAGATAAGTATAAGAGGATGATGGGTGAATGCTTAGATAACGAGCCCGTCAGATTTCTGATGATTCTTTTTCTTTCTTTCTTTTACAGAGATTATGAACGATGTTATCAAGAAGGTGAAGAAGAAGGGAGAGTGGAAGGTGAGAAGACAGCACTCTGGGTCACGTGTAGTTTTGGGCCCTAATATACAACAAACAAGATGATTAGAAAACTTTTATCTAGACTCGGGCTGTAGAACTGACTGCCAGCGGAACCTGTTTTTAGTAAAATATAAATATATTATTTTATTTTATTCTGTTTTACATAGTGTCTCAACCTTTTTTTGGGGGGAATGGGTTGTACCTGTTCATTACTTTAAAAAAGTGCTAATATAGTCATTGAGCAGTTCTCTTCAAAGAAGCATAACTGGACTTTGCTCTGAATCTGTAGCTTATGTTTCAAAATTAGACCTGAGTCAGTAAAAGAAAAACCACTGCGTGGCTTACATGCACAGATGTGTTGGATGTAACTGGGTTTTAACAAAATATAAAGACAAAGAAAATACTGGCCCTCGCTACCTAGTGTAAAATAATAACATTAATCCTGTTTAATATTCATAGATTGATTTAAAAACAAGATAAATTCAAATTCAAAATGTATTTGTATAGCACATTTAAAAACAACAGTGTTGACCAAAGTGCTTCACAGTCGGTTAAAAACAAGAGAAAACAATAGAGAAACAAATACAGATAAATGAGAAGACTATGAATTAACAATAAAAACATAAAACAGGCCTGATGGTACTCATACTGAACTCAAATTAAAAGCCAAAGTAAAAAAGTGAGTTTTAAGATGCAATTTAAAAGACTGAATAGACTCTGAAGTACGAATCTCCTCTGGCAGATTATTCCAGAGTCTGGGTGCTGCTACTGCGAAGGCCCGATCTCCTCTGTGCTTCAGTCGAGACCTTGGTTGTGCTAAGAGCATCTGGATAGACGATCTCAGTGCTGTTTTGGGGTCATACATGTTGAGGAGTTTGTTTAAATAACTGGGTGCCATATTATTTAAATCTGTAAAAGTGAAAGAATCTTAAAATCAATACGATACTTTACAGGGAGCCGGTGTAAATTTGCTAAAACTGGAGTGATGTGTTTATACATACACCTGTTAAAAGACATTTACCATACCATGAGGCCTTCCAGACTCTTTGTCAACTTTTGATGGAGACACAACTAAATGTGTTCTTTTCGAGCAGCTGCACTATTTTGGCTCATTAGATGAAATGGATCCATTTCAGATGTTGCTCATTTGCTAAGTGTGTCTGAGTAAAGACTGTGCAGAAATACCCAGCCAAATAATCTATTAGTCAAATATTTGATTGTCTCTAGAATTTGTCTTTATTAGTCATTTAACAGAGGCTTTTGGGCAGACCAATGGAAGGAATGATTCTCACCATCCCAGGAGATTACATTTTCAATAGTTCTTTTTTTTTCCAAAAAGACATTAGAAGACAACAGTAGAAAATATAATAAAAGATCAAATGGATACAAAACCTATACACAATATATATCTTGATGCGTAAATATGCAAATGGAAAAATGTTTTTCATCACAATGGTGCACATTAAATAAGCCAGAACAACTAAGACACACAAAAGACCTTGAAGCCTGGATGTGAATAAACCTGAGTCATCACTGCACAGTGTCTGTAAGGGATTATTCGAATAAGACTGTTTTATTGTCAGCTACATGTAATGAGAGTAATAAAAAGTAGTTACTGCCTTTGTGTGTTGCTAGGCTCTGATTGTGGACCAGCTGAGCATGAGGATGTTGTCATCCTGCTGCAAGATGACAGACATCATGACAGAGGGCATCACCAGTAAGAGCCCATCACATTTAACTATTTCTTTGCACTGCGAGGCTTATTTTGTTCCTGCGACTCTTTAACATGTCTGTGCCTGTTTCTGTAGTTGTGGAGGACATCATGAAACGACGAGAGCCACTGCCGAGCCTGGAGGCCATTTACCTGATTACACCCACAGAGAAGGTAGGGATACTCCTTCTTTTACCTATAGAGGCACATCCCTGTCAACAGGTTTGCACTTTTAGAAGACAGATCAGACAAGCTGCCATATTAAGCTGTTGACTTAGTCAAGAAAGATCGCTCATGCTTCTTAGTTTCCACGATCTATCTTTACATCCAAATTTCCATTATTTGTTGAAAGTTGTACAGAGTTTACAGTATACCTCAAGTTGAATGTTGCAGACCATGAGAGAGAGAGGCTGCAGAGCTTGGTCATCAGGGAGGGACTCAGAGTAACGGTTATCCCTCAACTGAAAGGTGTCAGTTAAGGTGGTTCTGGTATCTGATTAGGATGCTCCTGAATACCAAGCATTAGAGCCCAGAGCAGCTCTGGGACATTCTGGAGAGATTGTGAGTCTTACCTGGCTGATGTTCCCTTGGAAGAACTAGAGGTGGTGGCTGGGAGGAGGGAGATGTAGGCATCTTGGCGCAGACTGCTGCCCCTGCAACCCGGACTGGGATAATTGGAATCAGAATCAGCATACTTTAGCAGCGATAGATGGATGAATTTTCCTTAGATGGATGAGGTTTGGGAAAATGAAAGTGAACATTCAAAATATAACATGTGGTAGGGTTCTCCAAGGCAGAAAGGCCAGGCCAGTGCGGACTCTTGGGACGCTGGAGAATGTAAACGCAGCTCATGGTTTGAAAGGGAAAGACTGACATGCACTAACCTCTACTTGCAGCTTGACTAGCTACCAAAATATTGATCAGAGAAGCTCACATTATAAAATGCACATATTGTAAGGATTATCCTTGCTTCACCTTATCTTGAAGATTAAAATACAGAACTACATCGCAACACATTTAACCTGTTTGTCTCTCTTCAGTCTGTCCACACCGTCATTGCAGACTTCAAAGACCCTCATTCATCTAAATACAAGGCAGCCCATGTTTTCTTCACTGACTGTGAGTACACACAAGGACTTTACAGACAACCTTCTATTTGATATAGTGTTGATGCTGCTAAACAAGACTATTTTGGATGTTGAGGGTTTTTTTAATTGTTGTAATTTTTTCTTTCATAGATACGAAAACGAATGCTCTCATTGATGTTGTCAGAACGTCTAATCCCAGTTTTCTCAAAGTTCTTATAGTCACCTATTGTCTTCTTGTTTTGAAACACATGTGAGCCGGTTTTATTAGGTCAAGTAAGAGAGGATCTTTTTGTACTAATAATCAAATATTCCCCTAATTTACAGTGTTTTGTAGACAAATTAAGTAGAACTATACAAAAGTAGTTATTTTTCTTTAAATATGCTTTATCCCTGCACTATTACAGGGGGTTACAGCTTCATAATAAGAGACTGAGTGGCTACGATGTTGCAGTTTCCCTTTAACAGAAACATCTTGGCCTTAGAGGTGTCTTTATAGTGGAAGAATCTAAAGCTGCATCATGTTAAATGAAGGACGAGCTTCCATTGAAGCACTCTGTCAAAGTAATATGAAGAAGTTTAGTCAAAGATGATCTTTTAGAGACATCATAGGTCGATTCAAATTTCAAAGTGTTTAAGTGTATTTGTCTGTGAATGTGACTGAAACTAAGCATCATGTGATATTTTCCAGCCTGCCCCGATCCTCTCTTTAATGAGCTGGTGAAGAGCCGGGCTTCCAAAGTCGTCAAGACTCTGACGGAGATCAACATCGCCTTCTTGCCCTACGAGTCTCAGGTAAACATACTGTGCAGCCCTGCATGGGGATGGTGCATAATGAAATGCAGAAAAGCATGTTTAATCTCTATAAAAAGATTCTGCATACCAATACTTCTCCAGGATACAGACAGCTCATCAGGAGCTTTTCATAGCAAGTAATTCAAACGTTGCAGCAAGATATTGATGACTGACCTTGTGTTGCAATGTGATCATCTCAGACGTTCACTTGGCTGAAGCTTTGTCCATTTCTGGTTACTTCTTGGTGCAATATGACAGCATTTCTCTGTGTTTGTCCCTGAACGGTCTTTTAAGAACCCTCTTCCGACATCTTCTCTATGCTAATGTGTTTAAATTAACCTATCCATAGTTCTATAGCTAACAATGAGGTAGCAGATTACGATATATCATGTAGCTTCACTAACCCTAAAAATGTTGATGGCATCATCATCAAAATATTATCTTAAGATACTTTAATGGATGCCTGGAAGTTAAGCTTTATTGTAACACCCGGGAGAACAGTCAACTCATCAGTTTATTGGAGGTGAAGCAGTTTGGATGGTTTCTTGTATCTTCTGTGCTTGTATGCCTTTGGGACTTAAAAGAGCATTTTTGATGTGAAAATGGCTAATGAAGTCAGACTTAACATGCAGTCTGACCAGCCACATCTGAGCATGCAGTTCAGGTAACAAAGTCCATGTGATGGGCAAAAGAAAAGAAATCCCCAATCCTGCTGTCTAATTGCAGTTTAGCTTTTTAAAGCACATCTGCATTTTCAAACATTTAGAACTGTGGAGAACAAAAACTTCCACTCAAAGTCCATAAATATGCATTATTGTCCTTAACTATTGCCTAAAACGCCAGAGCCAGTGGTTTTGGTCCAACATAGCTAATGAATCTTTTTGTTTACCATTTATAGAGATGGTTCTGGGAGTCTGCCTCCATTAACACCTACATGTAGGACTAGAAATCAGGCTTTTCAAAAGGGACTGAAATCTGCAGTGACTAAGGTTATAATAAAAGAAATCATGCACATGCATGGCTTTATAAACGATTAATTTAGATCAAGATTTGTGCCATTAATGCCTTCTTGTGCTATTTCACAGCATACTTTTCTACACAAAACTGGAAATGACTGAAACCCAGATGAGTTTTATTGTCTGTTAGTGACAACAGAGAGAGAGAAGGAGAGGGAGAAAGATCCAGAGATGGAAAGCTTGAGCAAGAGCAGCTGCAGAGATCGATTAAGACAGGTGGGAGGAGAGAAATGCTGCAAAGGATGTGGACAGGAATAGTAACAGCGAGGTTATTGGTCGGAAGAGTCAAGGATGGCTAAAGAGAGGCAGAGCGAGAGGACAGAGAAACGCACTCAGGTGGAGACTCGGCACAAAGCTGCTGACTCACCAGACTCTCTGTTTACTGCCAGACTGTTCCAGAAAGACTCACATTTATCACACTGATTTCTCTCCCTCCCACCTGCTTCCCCACCCTTTGCCTCCATCTTGTCTTCTTCTCTGCCTCTCTCTGTTTTCTAGATTCTTTTTTTTAAACTCACTTGCACTTTCTTATCTTTGCTTTTTCCCTCTCATTTGCATTTACTCCATCCTTTTCTCCAACCATTTTACCCTATTTTTCCCTCCAGCAACCACCCCTCTATTTACTGCATCTCTCTCTTTCTGTCTGTCCTTTGCTCTCACAATCCAAAGATGCTTCTTGGCCCACAATGCTTTGCTTCCCTCTTGTCTACTATGATTAATTCAGAGTCAGTGGTTTTCTGCTTCAGGCAAAAATGCTGCCTCATAGTCCCGCCCACAGACTTGCCCAATTGGGCGATTCACATCCACACAGTGGGCTGCAGCCAATGGTGGCCATTCTGCAGCGCAGGAGTGTGGTCATGTGACTGTGGACAGATGGGTTGGGAGAAGGGAGTGGTAGTGATGCAGGAGAGGAGAAAAGAGAGGAGGAAGAGGATAGAAACAAAAAGAGACAGAGGGAGGAGGTGAACTAATGGAACAGTAAAAGACAAAAGAGAGGGTGTAGGATGATATGGTAAACATAGAGTCGAGAAGACATTAAAGTGCAGGGGGATGAAATGGTAGAGACTGAAAAAAGGGAGGGAGAAAACATGAAAACGATAACTGAGATCAAACAATCGATTTGTGTAACAGCTGAAACACATTAACACACATGCAGATGTTAAAAGCCTTGGGTCCTTTCTCCCTCTCTATCTTGGAAATTCAGTTCAGTTTAATGCTTCTCAAGGAAGTTGTCTCTGGAGAAGCTTAGTATGAAGACACACAGCTGTGCTTTTCCTCGCTGCTCTCTCTCTCTTGCACACATCATCACTGCGAGGGAGAGACGCCCGAGAGCGAAGCAAAGACACACTTAGGTGTGAAGGAAAAAAAAAATCTTCTTATGCACATTAGGAAAAAGCATATCAGACAAATTAGTTCAAGAAGCTAGAAACACTCATGTCAGCACAGTTAGCTGAAGAAAAAAATGACATTTCCTTGTATTTGTGTGTGCAGGTGTATTCTCTGGACAATCCAGATGCCTTTCACAGTTTCTACAGCCCTCATAAGACCCAGCTGAAGAACCCAGTGATGGAGAGGCTGGCCGAGCAGCTGGCGACGCTCTGTGCCACCCTGAAAGAGTATCCTGCTGTCAGATACCGAGGGTGAGCAAACAGGGGGCGGTTGTAAAACTTAAAATGTCTTTACATCTGTCATGCTTTGTTTTCCTTTATTTATCTTCCCTCCCGCTTTCCCGTGTCTGACAGGGAGTACAAGGACAACGCCACCCTGGCCCAGCTGGTTCAGGACAAACTTGATGCATACAAGGCTGATGACCCCACCATGGGAGAGGTGAGCTCACGAGAAATCAAAATGTTGTCACTTTAAATATCCTGCTTATTATTGTTTTCACTTAGCACATCATATTCTCGTTGTTTTAACCTGTATCAGGGCTGTCCATGAGATCAGGTCACAGCTTAACTTGATCTCCGTTTGCTGTAATCAGTAAAACCACTGCACTAAAATATCCTCTCCAGGCTTTACTCTTTTAAGAAGTGCATTCTGAAAATCTGAAAGATTTAATAGTAGAACTAAAACCTTCACGTGTAGAGTTTTTGTTATTGAATAATTCAATAATACAAGCTGTATCAAAAAGAATAATCTTTTTAAATTAATGGACAAAGAAGCTTTTAAAACACATGGCTGAATATAAAGGTTTACACACAAAACTTATATAATATAAATATGGATATAAAAAGTGCCATGCTTCTGAATGCAAAATAATCATGCATGCAGTTGCAGTTGCACAGCTGAATTCTACACGAGACCGGATGCGTGATTATCTAATTGTTGTGCATCTCCCTCTGTAGGGTCCGGATAAGGCTCGCTCACAGCTGATCATTCTGGATAGGGGATTTGACCCCGTCTCACCTGTCCTGCACGAGCTCACCTTTCAGGCTATGGGCTACGACCTGCTGCCCATTGAAAATGACGTCTACAAGTATGAGCAAATGCTGCTGTTTAAATTTTACTTGAGCATCATTTGCTTTTATGGGTAATTTGGCCATTGCTGTTTGGTTGATTCTTCTCCAGATATGAGACCAGCGGCATCGGAGACTCACGTGAGAAAGAGGTCCTTCTGCATGAAGACGATGACCTGTGGGTGAGCCTGAGACACAAACACATAGCCGAGGTGTCCCAGTGAGTACTTTTCATTCTGTTCTTTATTTTCCACTCAGGCTTTTGATATCAAATTAAATAATTCTCATATGTTACTGTCTTCTTGTCACTAGGGAAGTGACACGCCAGCTGAAAGACTTTTCTTCCAGCAAGAGGATGAACACCGGAGAGAAGGTAAAGGTGACTCTGTGGAGGGAGGTGATGCTATGAGTATGAATGTAAAGTTTTGTGAAAACATTAGGGGTGTCCTGTGGTTTACGTCATCGCCGCTTTATTGGACATTAATCGTGTAACTTAGTGTTGTTTTTGTTTCAAAAGACCACGATGAGGGATCTCTCCCAGATGCTGAAGAAGATGCCTCAGTACCAGAAGGAGCTCAGCAAGGTTTGTGTGTTTTTTGAGTCTGTGCATGCCTTTCTTTGTGTGTGCGTGTGTATGTGTGTGCGTGTGTATACGCTGACCTGTTTTGTCTTTTTCAGTACTCCACTCACCTGCAGCTGGCTGAGGATTGCATGAAACATTACCAGGGAACAGTGGACAAACTTTGCCGTGTGGAACAGGTGAGACGGAAGCAGAAAGAGGGGATGAGGAGAGAAAACCAGAGGGAATAGGAGGTGGAAGTAGCAGAGGCGAGGACAAAGAATAAAAAGTAAGACGTAAACGAGAGGTTTTCTGTTGCAGGATCTGGCTATGGGCACAGATGCTGAGGGAGAGAAGATCAAAGATCCCATGAGGGCCATTGTGCCCATACTGCTGGATGCCAATGTCAGCACATATGACAAGATCCGCATCATCCTGCTTTACATTTTCCTTAAGAACGGTAAGCGACAGACTGAATATAAATCACATGAAAATAAGACAGAAATATATATTTACTTTCTAGTAAACCGTTTATACAAGTTAGTGTTATTATTATTGTCTTAAACATTTGTATACATCTGTATAAATTGCCGTTGCTTTAGCTGATGTTTGAATTTTGAATCTAAGGGAAGTAGAGTACGCTCATTCTTGTGTGTTATTTAATGTGAGTGAGTGGGCCATGAAAATGTGGCGTTATTAAATATTTTTTATTATCATTTAACATTTAAAATACAGAAGAAAAATGAATGCAACAATGTTATGGGTTGTTTTATTGAAGCAACATGCAGGAACTTGGTGATATCAAAACAAACAATCTTTGTTTTACAAATCTTGTTAATATTTTGTGTATATTTGTGTGCTTAGGCATTACGGAGGAGAACCTGAACAAGCTGATCCAGCATGCTCAGATTCCCCCCGAGGACAGTGAGATCATCACCAACATGGGTCACCTGGGCGTCCCCATCATCACAGATGTGAGCGTCTCCTTATTATCAGCTTACTCATCCTTTCCTAATTCCTTATAAACTAAACTTTGAATACTTTCCTTAAATTAATTTTTAATTACCGTATTTCCCGGACTACAAAGCGCACCTGAATATTAGCCGCACAAGCTAAAATCAGGGGAAAATCCTGTTTTGTACATACATTAGCCGCACCTGACTAAAAGCCGCAGGTGTTTCAATGTTGACTTATCATATGTAAGAGAATATGCACAAAGCGAATTGTCAGGAAAGAGATGGCTGTTTGGAGACACACCGCTTTTATTAATATTTTGAAAAACAAGTTATGGGTACATATTTGCATAACTTTTTTAGGTATATGTACAAGTAGCGGTAATTACAAGTACGAAACATGTACTGTGCTTCATAAACGAGTAACAAATGTAGTACATAACAATAACCTACAGCACACCAGAAAAATAGATTGGACTACCTTTTAGGCTCAGGTGCAGTGACACGGCTTTAACAAGAAGAAAAGTCAGTCACTCACCACCATCTTTCTCTTCTTCCTGCACATTAAAACCACCAAAGTCCTCTTCTCCAGTGTCGGATACGAACAGGTTCAGGATGGCTACGTCATCCACTCTCCGCTTCTCTCCTTCGTTGTCACTTTCAAAACCAAACAAATCCTTGTTGTCAGTGTCAGAGTCGAACACCCTCTGAAGGGGTCCAGCCCTTCGAAATCCGTTTGTGATCGTGGATGTTTTCACACTTTTCCACGCTGTCAGATTCCACCGGTGGAGTTGAGCATAACTTGCTTTTCGCAAGTTTATCGCCGCTCGTCATCCACGCCTCCCGCTGAACACGTAGCACTACTTTAAAGTTTGTTTTTCGCGCTACTTGTACGGCACTATGTTGCCTGGCGGATGGACATGTGACCAACATACCACTCTTGAACCTCGATACTGTGTGTCTGATCACATGCCCTTCCGCCAGGCAACGTAGTGTCGTACAACAGCGGAACAAATAAAACAAATCGTCTTACGATATGACAAAAATCATGGACAATCCATAGAAAAGCCACACCTGACTAAAAGCCGCAGGGTTCAAAGCTTGTGCAAAAAGTAGCGGCTTATAGCCTGACAATTACGGTAATTGTATTGTAGTTTTTGCCTTTTAATATTAACGCCAATAGACTGTAATGGAAATTTGCTTATATTATGTAATCTGTCACAGCACAAGTCTTCCCATCAGAGAAGCTGTCTGTGTCGTTTCACTTTAAACCACAAACTGTGTGATGTTTTTCATTTGGACAGTCTGACCCTTGGACAAAAAAGCCTAAGATGCTGGAAGTCAAACTACTTCACACTTCATAGATGTTGGGTGAAATAAAGCAGGCTAACACAGAGCTAACATAGGCTTTTCTTTATTTACATTAAATTGTTGATTTGGTTACTTATATAACTGGTGGGTGATTGTATATCATTGTATCTGTATCACTGACCCTTAACCAACACAGAAATCACAACGTGACACATTTTGGGGACATCTCAAATGCAATTTCTTATGTTGTCACGTTTTGAATCCAGGTTATTTCCACTGTACTGCAGCACTGTTTGATGGGGCTTCAGGCGGTACACTTTTCAATAGGTGTTTGACAACGTCAGGGTTGCTCCTTATCTTCAAACCTGTTTTTGATTTTCATGGAAGAGCTCTCAAGGTGTCGTCAGTCGTTTGGGAGTGGGGGCTACCTCCAGGCAGGGGATCCAAGTATCATGGGCTTTTATGCAGGAATGACGGGAAGGTGGAATGTGAGTTGGTGCTGTGTCAGCAGTAATGGGGCTTGCAGTGACCTGCTGTGTTGAGAGATCCAACTCTCAGCTGTGGTCATGAAGTATGGGAAATGATTGAAAGAGTAAGATTGTGGATTGAGTTTCCTCCACTGGGTGACTGAGATAAGCCTTAGAGAGAGGCTGAGAAGCTCAGACCTCAGGAGGGATTGTGGAGCAGAGCCTGTGCTCTGTGACACATGTGTGTTCCAAGAAACTGGTTGAGGTGGTTTGGGCCTGGTTAGGATGCCTCCTGGGCGTCTCCCTGTGGAGGTTTGGTGGGCATGCCCAATTGACAGACCCAGAACACACTGGAAAAATATATATCTTGTTTGTCCTCTGAATGCCTTGAGATCTCCTAGGAGGAACTGGAAAGTTCGGGAGAAGGTTGTCTGGAATAGCCTGGTTAGTCTGCTGCTGCTGCTGGTGCATGTGTTGGCTTATTGCTTAAAGGGGCTGTAATGCTGTCACTACTTTATGTCAGATAAATGCTACCTAAAGGGTGAATGCTCATAATAAACATAGCTAAAGTTTTAATGAGATCGACATATGTACAAGGAATCCCTCATAGCTGAGGCTTCAGACTGCTTTAAACACTCAGTTTCAGTCAGTTTTTCTACTCTTGGCTGTTCAGCAGATGAGAGCAGATTTTCCTAATATGGTCACCTCAAGCACAAAGTTTTGGTTGTGAGCACAGAAGCCTCACCAACCTGCTATTTAAGCTTTATTTCTGTGGGGGTAGCCAATCA